TCCAATTATACAATATAAAAAAAAAAAAAATACCATTCCTTAAACTTTTGGTAAATGGATACAAAACTGTATAAAAAATTATTGTGTACTCCCGAGAATTGAATGGTGAATTTGTAACACTGCCCTCAAGGGGTGAAATAGAAACATCTTTTGTTTTTATATTTTTAAAAACTATGGAATTTCTCACAAGTTGTTAAACCCTTATCTGGTCAAGTGAATGTAAAAGTACAAGATGCTGGCAGGATAAGGGTTAAAATGCATACCATGATTTCTGTAGACAAAAACCAGCCCTGTGACAATTACACGGAAATTTGATTCCAAATTATAATTGCATAATATATAAACAATTATAATACTATTCATATTTATGCTCAAAATATGATTCAATGACAGTAGTTTCATTCTAAGGAAGACATTAAGAGACACAATGAGACAATTTTTGAACTAAAGTTATGAACTGGACCATACCTAACTTATTTTCAAAATTTGCAATTAAGCCACAGAAAAGGGACCCCTCCCAGATATATAAAGTTAGTCAAAGTTGCCAAAATAATTATTAAGCAGGAAATCGTAAAAGAAAATGTGTGTGACCTTAATCTTGCATTTTCAGAGTACATTTCAGTGTCTTTTAAGAGGTGGTACACCTACATAGATCTAATACATTAATAAATAAAACAATACAATCTGCTAGATTTAATTTTACTGATCTGTGGTAATAATAATGGTGACTTATCACTTCTAGTTTAATGTCAATGATGTATATCAATACCGTGTGTATAACATGACAAGAGTTTATTGGTACTCGTGTACAAGAACAGATAAATTTGCACAAGGGAAACTGCATAATTGTATAGTAGTGAACATTTCATTTTGATTGTTATTTAACAGTTGTACCAAATTACGTCTTGTGAATGATCTTAGATTATCAAAAAAAAATTGATAGTACCGAAAATTAATGAAATTAAATTGGTTTACTGTAATCTAATTCAAATTTGACTGATCAAATTTTTTAAAAACTTGATACTATGCCACAGCAACTGATAATTGACCTGACTGATCAGGTATTTGGAGGTACTTGTCTTTAGTAATCTGGCTGTGTGTAATGGATGGCTTTCATGCAAGATCACTTTTCACTGGATACAGAAAACGTGCTATATATATGTATATATATATTTTATTTTTTATCCACACACATACATACAAACGCACTGGTTAATATGATTCATGTCAAGTTATTCACTACTTGCACTGTCCAATCGATACCTAATGCATGATAACACTGTAAAGAAAGTTTTAAGTTTCTATGGATGGTTGCGCCAACACCAGCCAATAATCAGTGATGGTACAGTGACCAGTTTGAACAACCAAGGAGCTGACTTTGTAACAGATAAACAAGCCATGCATGGCACAGTCCCTGTTAGTTATCAAATTTAAAATATATAGTTTTGTTTATACTAATATAGTTGGCACATAAACATGTCAAAGATATGGATACAGAAGCTAATGCTTAATTATAATTTTTTAACATTAAAATTCAGTCACCCATATTGAGAGATATTGCTCTGGAACCGCATTTATTAAAACAAAATGGCCACAGTCAGCCATTTGGAATTGGATAGTCAAACTAATAAATATGTATATCTTTGACATGTATAATGAAGATATAAAATTTGAAGATAATCAGTCAAAACATATCAGAACCACATTTATTAAAACAAAATGGTCGCCAGTCAGCCATTTTGAATCTGATCTGAAAAACAAAGTAAAGTGCATCAGGAACCCATAATGTCTAATGTATTATAGTTTTAACAAAATCGATCCATAAAAGACCAAGATCTGTTTCTGGAATGCAAGAACTGCTTGAGTTTTTGATGATTTTTTAGCACAAAAATGGCCAACATTCGGCCATTTTAAATCAGATCATCAAATCAATACATCTTTATATCTATGACATGATGTATACTGACAATTTTTTTTTAACACAATCAGTCAAAGCATGTCAGATATAGCACTAGAACCACATTCATAAAAACAAAATGGCCGCCTGTCAGCCATTTTTAATCCTATCTGGAAAACAAAATGACGCGTAATTAGGTCCAATGCATGTACCAAGTTTCAACAAAATCCATCTGTAAACAGCTGAGATAGAGTTCCGAAATGCCAGAAAAGCTTGATTTTGATGATTTTTCGGCACAAAAAAGGTCACCATTCGGCCATCTTGAATCACAACGAGAACAAATTCATGTGCATATCTATAATATTATGTACGATGTACGTGTGAAGTTTGAATGTCACCAGTCAAGGCATATCTAAGATAAAGGTTCGTACTAATTAAACT